ATTTTCATTGTAAACGTGAGAATTGATCCCGGTCCTACATCTCTATTGATACAGCAAGTCACATTAAATAGAGTTTTTAATTAAAATTATTAGTTAAATTGATTATGGGTAAAAAAGAAAGTTAAATTTAATCCCACGTTAGGGATGTTGATTTGCCCCGACCCGGTGGGGAACCCGGTTCACCCAACCCGAACGGGGACGGGGATTCCCCACTAAAACAGGTCCCGGGACCGGGAATCCTCGGTAGTGGCAAATCGGGGTTGGGGTTAAAACGGGTCCTGGGACCGGAAATCCCCACTAAAACGGGTCCCGAGAATCCCCGGCATTAACTTTATTTGTTTTAATACATGATATATAAGAAGTAGAGTGAATTACATTTTTCGTCCCTTGTCTATGGTCGTAGTAAGGTTTACGTCCTTACAATTTATAAAGTACATTCGTGGTCCATTTTTTGATTTTTAGAGCCCAAAATCGTCCCTCTAAAAAATCCCATTAGTTTAGCATCTGTTAAGTTTGTCATGTGCCCCTTACATGAGGGACAAATCGGTCATTTTACCTCTTTATCTTTTGAAAAGAATTAGAAACAATTTTTTTATTCAATATCATATATAAATTAATGTTTAATAAAAAAACAAATATTATACAACGTTTTTAATCAGAATTAAAGCATTTAACCGTAAAGGACGATGTGCTTTGACTGTTGTTTAGTCTTCAACAAGAGCAACCCCATCGACACATGCCTCCTCCCCCGTCACGGCCCCAAGAGCAGCCTCGTCAAGGTGAACAACCCTCCCCTTCTTCTTTCATCCTCTTCCCATTCTGCCACCGGCCCGACCACCTGTAATTTTTCTTTTTCTTGATGAACCAACCCGCCCCCCGCCCCCCCCTTTTTCCCCTTTCCCTTTCTCAATCTGTCATTGACGTTATAATACCCCAAATAAGGACAATTTGTAATAAATGTCATAAGGAATGACTATATTCATCAAGCACTCAAAGATAACCCTGGGGAGGGTCCATTGTTGTTAATAGCCTATAGTTGGAAAAGTATTAAAAGATTAAGTAATTATTACGGATTTTTAAATTTAAAAGGGAAAATTGTACTAAAAAGGAACTAACTTTCATCTAATTTCTATTTTAGGGAACCAACTTTCAAAATTGTCATTTTGGGGAACCAACTTGCACCTGATTCCTATTTTGGGAAACCAACTTTCAAAATCGTCATTTTGGGGAACCAACTTGCAAAATAATTATAAAAAAATAACTAAAATTCGTTTTTTTCCAAAAAATTAATGCAATAAAATCTATTTTTCATTTCAAATCTCGTTTTTTTACTGATATCAAATTGAACATTTAAAAAAAATTCCAAATTACCACCATAAAAATTGTTTTTTACTAACGCAAAAAAAATCAATTTAATAGAAAAAAATAATAATTGATGCAATAGAAAATAAATATTAAATATCACATTCAAGATTTTTATATCTAACCAATTGCATCAATTAATTTTTTTCTATTAAATTGATTTTTTTTGCATTAGTAAAAAACAATTTTTATTGTGGTAATTTGGATTTTTTTTTAAAATGTTCAACTTGATATCTGAATTAAAAAAACGAGATTTGAAATAAAAAATAGATTTTATTGCATTAATTTTTGGAAAAAAAAACGAATTTTAGTTATTTTTCTATAATTATTTTGCAAGTTGATTTCCCAAAATAGGAATCAGATGCAAGTTGGTTCCCCAAAATGACGATTTTGAAAGTTGGTTTCCCAAAATAGGAACCGAGTGCAAGTTGGTTCCCCAAAATGACGATTTTGAAAGTTAGTTCTCCAAAATAGGAATTAGGTGAAAGTTGGTTCCATTTTGGTGCAATTTTCCCAATTTAAAATTTTAAAATAACTTCATTTATATGGAGGGAGAATATGAGATGGTGTATTGTTAGAAAATAAGTTAATAGCACTTAATGGTCATCAGAGGAGATGGTCTATAAAACAAAATTCCGTTCCTTTCACCTTCGATGTACTTCGAAAATCAAAAGAGGAAGAGGGAGAAGAACAACTGGTTTGTGTGTTCCTCGTGTTCTTGAACACCACTGAAGAACGAGAAGCAACAATATCACTCGAGAGAGAGAGAGAGAGATCTTCAAGTTTGAGGTATAATCTTTCTCTAAAACTCGGTATTTTCTTGTTAGGTTAGCAGCATAGTATTTAGAATTGTTTTATATCACTTCTGCCTGGATTTAGAAGTCGTCGAGCTGATAAATGAAGAGGTAGTTTTGTTGAAAACGGCGAAAAAAATCAGAAAAGTACACGTTGCTTGTAAAATTTATAAGAAATCACTCATTTGTCTAAATAAGGCGTGTGATACATTTCTTAAAAGCTTGAGATGTCTACTACACATATTCTATAAGACCGCATGATATGTATGGGGTTCTAACCAAGCAAAATCGATGGATTTTAAAATGAGTCAGACTTACATAATCAGCGTACTGATTTCATAAAATCCATATAAAATTCGTTATAACTTCGATAGAGGTGAGCTCTGTATATATGGAATCAGAAGAGGTTTATCTAAAACATTTGTGTAGATATTGAATTCTAAAAGCCCTTGGAGGTACGAGAAACTAATGGGTTTTGTAGCGTGTTCAATGCTGAAATAACTATGTTCTAGTCTAGCTAACTTTGTACATGTTAAGGTGCATGTTTAGAAGTGTATGTAACCATGCAAGTGTTCACCACAAGTAGCGTGCACAGTTTATTTTGGGTATTTTGTAGCAATCACTCAGGTGAGTTTCATGAGATTTCACTGAGATGTATACACATGTATAGAAACGTATTTTTACATGTACGACTATAAGGATTGATAAAAAGGGTAAAAAACTAAAATTTTCTCATGTGAGGGGCACAGGAAGTATTTAACAGAGATATTTTAATAATGTTAAATGGGGGACTAGTTTGGTGTTCAAAACATGAAAAAATAGACCATTAGTATAATTTACGAATTATAGGGACAAAAACTAAAAATCAACAATAAACGAGGGATCAAAAATGTAACTCACTCTTAAAGTATAAAAACTACCCTGCTATCGTTTTTCTTCGGTCTTTCTTTCTTTTCACTCAATCTATTCCATCCGAAAACGTAACTCATGGATTATTTTAAGATTAATAGTCATTTTTACCGGTTGGTTTCACCTTTTAGCCACTTCTTTACAAATTTACCAAGGAAAAAAAACCAAGATCTGCAATTTCAATTTGGGAAAATTGCACCAAAATGGAACCAACTTTCACTTAATTCCTATTTGGGGAACTAACTTTCAAAATCGTCATTTTGGGGAACCAACTTGCACCTGATTCTTATTTTGGAGAACAAACTTTCAAAATCGTCATTTTGGGGAACCAACTTGCACCTGATTCTTATTTTGGAGAACMAACTTTCAAAATCGTCATTTTGGGGAACCAACTTGCACCTGATTCYTATTTTGGRGAACCAACTTTCAAAATCGTCATTTTGGGGAACCAACTTGCACCTGATTCCTATTTTGGGAAACCAACTTGCAAAATAATTATAGAAAAATAACTAAAATTCGTTTTTTTCCAAAAATTAATGCAATAAAATCTAGTTTTCATTTCAAATCTCGTTTTTTTTATTCAAATATCAAATTGAATATTTTTAAAAAAAAAATACAAATTACCACAATAAAAATTGTTTTTTACTAATGCAAAAAAAAAATTAATAGAAAAAAATTAATTGATGCAATAAAAAATAAATATTTAATATCACATTCAAGATTTTTATATCAAACAAATTGCATCAATTAATTTTTTCTATTAGATTAATATTTTTGCATTAGTAAAAAACAATTTTTATTGTGGTAATTTGGATTTTTTTAAAAAATTGTTCAATTTGATATCTGAATTAAAAAAAACGAGATTTGAAATAAAAAATAGATTTTATTGCATTAATTTTTGAAAAAAAAATGAATTTTAGTTATTTTTCTATAATTATTTTGCAAGTTGGTTCCTCAAAATAGGAATCAGATGTAAGTTGGTTCCTCAAAATGATGATTTTGAAAGATGGTTCCACAAAATAGAAATCAGGTACAAGTTGATTTCCCTAAAATGATGATTTTAAAAATTGGTTTCACAAAATAAAAATTAAATAAAAGTTGATTTATTTTGATGCAATATTTTTTTTTAAAGGAATTTATATGCTTGAAAAAGTCTAGCTCATCACCTGACACGTTCCCAACCTCCACTCGCTTCTTGCATGTAACAGTAACACTCATTCCTGCCCAAATGTCATTTATCTATTGGCAACTATTCGCTGGCACCAACCAACACGCTCTTCCCCATTTTTTTTAACATTTTCTTTTTTTAATTTTTTTTAAAATCCGTATTTCCGTTAACAAACGTTATTATTTTAAATAGAGATCATCGACATAAGGCATTTAATCTTATGTCTTTATATTTTTCTAAAATTTCCAAAAATAAAAAATTCGTAAAATATACGATATGAATTGTAAAATACACATAATTTTTTAAAATATTTCTATTTTATTCCTCTTTAAAAAATAATTTGCTTTATTAATAGAAATTATTTTTGATAGATTTTTAAGGGACTGTTGATCCAAATGATTATCCGATAAATGCTTATTTATAGGAGTTAATACTATAATTTATTTTGATGTGTAAGATTTTAATACATCAAAACATATTGAATATTACAATTTATCAGGTAAGAGTCGTCAACTTCACATACCGGATAAGACTCTACGTCTTTCTCATCGTTCTTATCCGGTAAGATTCTTAGTTCTTGTCATGTTAATCCGATGAAAAAATTTATCTGATAAACACTTGTCAAACGTATTAAACGGCTCCTAACTCTAATTTTTGTCGTTATATTCTGTTTAAGAGGACATTGTTATCAATTTTGTGAATAGCAACAAGCGTTGGTTATGAGTTTGACCCGCTGGAATCCACCGCCCTCTCTTTAAAATTCGGTAAATACCAAATTCAAAATTGAGTGGAAAATTGGAAACCCAATCTTCTTGATATCATGGAGTCAGAAAAACGGCATAAACAGATCCAGTAAACCATAAATACAACAAATTTCTTGTGGCGAAGAACATACAGTGGCCGTTACACGCACTGCAAATTCAATCAAGTTTGAATATTTATTCTCTAAATTTTGATCCATCAGTATTCCAAGATCCCAATCAGGAGGAAGATCGGCTGAACTTTAGGCTTTTGCATACTCGATCAGTTCGATGATATCAAGATTTTTCATCATCTTCAACTTCTAGTTGATCTTTTCAAAGAAGTTCCCGATTTCAAGACACCAGGTGCTGTCAAAAACCTGAGTCTCTCTTTAATTTAATGTTCAAGTTTTTAATTACTTTAAGATCTTAGTGGCAGCTCCATGTGCATAATGGTTTACGCTGCTTTTTATGTTATATAATATCCTTTTGAGATCCCTGTACCCAGTTTTCATTATTGGTTTTCTCTCCGTTTTCTTCGGTTCTAAATTTTAAATTTAAAGATTTGGGTTTGGGAATTTTGTAATTTGTATTCAAATCGATATGGGTGTTTTGATCTTTCTTGAGCTTGTCGATTACTTAAACTTTTAATCGCAAAAAGCATGAAGAATGTGTTGATAGGGACACCTTTCCATCATCGTTTCTAAGGCAATTGTTTCTTGCACGCAAAGTGTTTGTTCTTAGGTGTCAATGGGATTCTTTACGCCTGTCCTCATCTATTGATTCATTGGATCCAATGGAGAATTACTTGCAACCAAACTGTAAATATATATAAATTATATTTCCAAGTTGTTGCTCTTGATTTGTGTATGATCATGTACCTTCATAGATTTGTAATGTTATTCTCCATAGAGTTGAAGAATTTATAATCCACATACCATTGTTCACTCTAGGTGATTCTATATTTCTATATGCCTGGTGTACTATTTCTTTCGCTTGAGAATCAGATTAGTTTACATACAGTTTCTTTAAGTATGTCTTTTAAAGATCTTTTATGAAACTAAGTTATATGTCATTTGATTCTGCTTGTGAATTGGATGGATTGTGAATGATTTTCTTATCAATGATGATCGCAGAAAATATAACGAGGTAATTGACAGAAGTGTTTATTTGCTTGCAGGACTTCTCTTCGGTAGTCTTTTTGTTGAGGTAGTTTGTCATGGTTAAAAGTGAATCATATTGATGTACAATGCAGAGATCACGTAAAGCTCTTCTGGAGAGAAGAGCTTTGGGAAAGCCTATTCTTGGGAAACACAACTTTTATAAGGTTTCTTTGTCGCTTGCCGTTTTTATTTGGGGGCTCCTTTTCCTATTAAATTTATGGATAGGCCGTGGCGATGGTTATAGAGGTCAGTTACAATCGTATTTTCTTAATTAACTATTTTATCTATTCTCTATTGGACATATGTAGAATAAACTACAGAAGCTTGAGGAACTCCTTGTGTGCAATCCGTAAGAAATGCATGATAGATCATTAACAAAATACTTTTATGGTCTAATATAAAACGCTTCTTTATATGGAAAAAGTCACAAACTTTTTTGTAAATAGCCAAGCAAAAGACAAACAATTATGCACAGAAAGAAACCAAAAAGGTATCAGATGGTCACCCAATAAGACTAAGTTCACGGGCAACTGCAAATGGGTTTTCACTATGGATTCTAACTATAACATATAACTCTCAATTGTAGCAGAACTTCACTCGCCAATTGATGAGAGAGTCTTTGTGTTTAAGCTTTGGAACAAGTAGGGACTTCTCATTTGGATTAATATTCAAGGTATCTCACAAACCTTGATGCTACTGGAGGAAGGAGGTTAGGATCAAAACACAAGATTAACAAAAAAATAAGGTGTATGAGAACCGCAAGCAAGAAAAGAGAGAAAAAGGGAAAAAGAAATAAGGAATTGGAGAGGGGAAGTCACTACACTCATATGCATATCATCTTAACGTATGTCCCTTTAGGTTGCCAGATCTAGGCTTGATAACATCAATTAACTCTAAAATTCCTTTGGTAGTTTGAGTATTCACTGTGACTGAATGCACGCACCTTACCGAGTCTGTTATGATGGTCGTTTTCCCTGATTATAATGAGCATTGGTGTTAGATATTTTGCAGAAAAATAGCAAGATTTCAAAAATGTAATCAAATTTATGTTATTATGGTTACTTCCTTTTAGCTCTTTAATAATATTAAGTCATAAACTTACAATCGTTGGAGGTAGTAATGCATGTAAATCTTCTCATATGAAGCTGTTTTATTTCTGGTTTATAGATGGTCTTGAAGATCTCCCTAAAGGTTTAAGAACTTGGGGTGAATTGAAGGTGGAGCCCGATAAAGAATCTTATTGCTCAATATCTTCAGACGAATGTGCTGCCACAGATCTCGACTCCAAAAACCTTATCAAGAGTGCCTGCATCTCTGACGCTGAAAAAAAGGAGCGGGTTATCAGTCAAGAATTTCAAATGGAAGAAAAAGAACCAAGTGATCTCTCCATAGCTACAGCAGAACAGAAGGAGATTATTGATCCAAAAGGGTCATCTAAAACTGAAAAATCAAGATATGTACCTCTACGTCTTGATGAATTCAAGAACAAGGCTTTTAATACAAAAAACCGACCTTCAAATGATAATGTGGGAAGTATAATTCACAGACTGGAGCCTGGTGGTGCAGATTACAACTATGCTTCTGCTTCAAAGGGTGCAAAAGTTCTAGCTTGCAACAAGGAAGCAAAAGGTGCATCAAATATCTTAAGCATAGACAAAGATAAGTACCTTCGAAACCCATGCTCATCTGAGGAGAAGTTTGTGGTTGTGGAACTTTCAGAAGAGACCTTAGTTGACACCATCGAAATTGCTAATTTCGAACACCATTCATCAAATCTGAAAGAATTTGAACTTCTAGGGAGTTCGGTATATCCTACTGAAACTTGGTTAAAACTTGGAAACTTCACTGCTGGAAATGTGAAACACACACAAAGATTTGTTCTTCAGGAGCCAAAATGGGTGAGATATATAAAGTTGGATCTTTTGAGTCATTATGGAACTGGGTTTTATTGTACATTGAGTTTTGTGCAAGTTTATGGAGTCGATGCTGTTGAAATGATGCTAGAAGATTTGGTCTCTGTGCAAGATAAGAAGTTCCCATCTAAGGAACTTGAGAGTGATTCAAACCCGAAGGACTTCAATGCAAAACGTGATTCATTTGATCATGATTCCATTGATGGAGTGGAACACGCGCAATCTGTAGATGAATCTAATGTTAACCGTGCAGTTACAACGATTGATCTTCCCGACCCTCTTGCAGAAGTACGCCAGCAACAAGCTGGAAGGTTGCCTGGGGACAGTGTTATCAAGATATTGATGCAAAAAGTTCGACTTTTAGATATAAATTTATCATTGTTGGAAAGATACCTTGATGAATTAAACTCTAAATATGGATCCATTTTCAAAGAAATGGATGCAGAAATTGGAGAAAGAGATATACTCATGGAGGGAATCAGAACAGACTTGGATAGTTTTCATGAGAGCAAGGAGGCCTTGGTACGTATTATTATTACTCATTGTGTTCCATAAGAATTGTGACATTCCCTTTTATCTCACACCCGTGTTTAAACCATAAGCTAGCTTGCCTCGTTTGATCAGCTATAAGCTAGTTTTCTGAAAAGCTACTTCAAGTAGCATTTCAATAAGTTCCATGGTTCTTTTTCCAACTATGCCCCTAATATTTTTCCAATTAATTTTTCTAGCATGTCCTCTTAGGTCATTTTAACTTGTCCCCTTATCAGCTAGTAGCTAGCTTATCAGTTATTCTAGTGGCTCGGAAAAGTTGTAACCTTTTTGTATTCTCCTCTATTACAGACTAAACAGGTTGATGATCTAGAATCGTGGAAAACACTCGTGTCTGTTCAGCTGGATGATATCACAAAGAGCAATGCCTTTCTCAGGTGATTCTTTTTTAATCATATCCTAGATAAATTTACCATTATTGTCATTTCATTAGTTTGTCAAGTTGCACAACAAGCACAATTGTATGTATATGCTTATGCGTGTCAAAACCTCTCTCTCTTTGCACATAATCACATATTAAAGAGTGACCCCCATGCATCAATGCGACACTTATTTTGCAAACATAATGTATCTATGGTTTGAAACATGTGACCAGATTGTCACCAATTTGGATGAATGTGGATGATGTGTTTTGTGTTTGATTCTAACGAATACGTATGAATGTGGATGCAGATCGGAGGTTGCAAAGGTGAGAGAGTATCAAGTACATATGGAGAATAAAGGGATCGTTATATTTCTTGTTTCCTTGATTTTTGGATCGTTAGCTATTGCCAGATTATTTCTGGGCAAAGTTTTGTTCGTTTTACATAGTAACAATAGATTAGAAGAGGGTAGCGGATCATCTGACGGTTCATGGATGTTCCTGCTTTCGAGCTGTATGATAATCATCATTATCCTCTCGTTATAATCATTTTCTTTATGGTCGTACTTTCAAGGTCATTTTGTGTAACATCTCTATGAAGATGTACGGAAACATTTGTTTATAAGATGCCAGAGAAATATTGCATATGTGATTTGATCTTTTTGAATCATCATGATTCATGGATTTGGCAAGAAAATACCAATTTCTTGAATCTTGAATTGCATTTGCAGGTGTTGTTTACTTGGTTTCTTTGGCTCACTCCTATGGTGATCCACCATAAAACACAAAGAGGCTTTATTGAAGGATTTTTACGGTGGATGTGTGGCGGATCACGGTGGGTGGATTGACCGTCACCGACGGATTATCTAAGGATTTTTTGATTGGTGATTGAAAATCCGCATCCAATAATCACAATTACCGGCCATGTAAAATTAAATATTAAAGATCAAAATATATTTGTTATTTAGTAATAAATATATGCATATGTGACATGCTATAACATGTATTAATTAAAATAAAAAAAAACTAATTGGGGTCGGATTAGGGGCGGGTAATACCATCCCTGATCCCGCTTTGGATATAAAAATAAATCCCCATCCACGTCCGGTTACTCATCAAAATGGGGAATCCTTGCCTCGTTGGGGTTGGGTACCTGCAGATACCTTCTCCAACGGGTAAAATTTCCATCTCTGATCCTAAGGGGAGATGTGCTCTTTAACACAACATTTTAATGGTGTTTAGTTCGATACAATGAAATAAATCATTATCAGATATTGGATAACGAAGTACTTCTCCAAATTGAAAGAATGAAACTCATCCTCGTTTTCATTTTTCAGGGTTCTCGTTCCTATTCTAAGCCTCTCAATGCAAATGGTTGTCGAGAATCAGTTGACGTCTTTGTTACCATTTTAGGTCTTTTAGAACATCTTCAACAACAATATTATAATTTTATGTTAAATAAAGTATCAAAAATTAAAAAATCTTTAGAAAAATTACATCTATTTCCAACAGCTACTCTGTTTTAGCAATTTCAATATTAATTATATAGTATTATACTAGTAACATATTTTATGAATTCATCATTCCAATATATTTTAAATTTTTTTACGTAAGAAAGTATAAATATTCAATTTCATTAGTAGAAACAATTAAAATAATATATATCTCTCTCTGTAATAT